GAATGCCCTGCTGCTAGACTGACAGCTCTTTCCCAGAGCTGTGCTTGTGCACGCAGCACGAGCAAAGAGCACCTCCAGATGAGGGAAGATGGAGTCCCACATTCGATCCGCATGTTATCATCGGATACCACCATCTCGCTCACAGCACATGCGCTGGCCAAAGGTTACATTCTCCAGGCATCACAGTGACAAGGGGCGGCAGCAACACGGAGGTACCATGCAAAAAGCAGCCGTATTCAAGGAAAAGTTAACGCAGCACGAGCAAAGAGCACCTCCAGATGAGGGAAGATGGAGTCCCACATTCGATCCGCATGTTATCATCGGATACCACCATCTCGCTCACAGCACATGCGCTGGCCAAAGGTTACATTCTCCAGGCATCACAGTGACAAGGGGCGGCAGCAACACGGAGGTACCATGCAAAAAGCAGCCGTATTCAAGGAAAAGTTATGGATACACGCATCAAATATTTGAACAGGTAAACACCTCGCTCCTTTCAAATACAGAGGATTTAAAACCACCTCAGTGAAGAGTGTATTTGTAAAGCAAACATACTTCGCTTCTTCCACCACTTCCACCTCGGCCGGGGCTGTGATTGGTGCATTGGAGTGTACCCCTGTTGGGTCATCAACATTCAGTTCACCATTTGTCGAGCTGACCACCTGAAACACAAAACCACAAGAGCTGCTAGGAATAAAGTCTCTTGGCAGAGTTAGTCAGCAGCCCACAGTGACAGGGCTGCCCTGACAACGGATACTGCAGGAAGAACACACGAAACCTGGAGCATCAGTACAAGGCAATTACTCTTCAGCTCCTTCCCCTCAGCCATGGTGCACCCGCCTACACAGCTGCACGATTGAACAGACTTCCCATGGCAGTGACTGAGTGCTAAAGCAGGCCCATTTCCCACAATATAGTCTCCCACAGTGTTTGCTTTAATGGATCGACTCACGGGACTGCCCCTGCTCTTTGGGAAGCTGTGCCACAATCCCCCCCTCCCCTTTTCCTTGTTTCATCCCACATCTCCGACTTCCCGCCTTGTAACATCTGGTTACACAGGGCATTTCTGCCGAATGTTCCCCCTCCCAACACCTTAGATTTTTCTCAATTCACCAACTTCAGCCTTCCAAGATATTTGACTCCCAGCAGCCAGGAAACAGCTGAAGAGCTCAACATAAAATAAGCCCAAGTGTTTTGACACTAGGTGGCAAGATACCTTGGAGACAAAATGGATTCCTTAGCACTTGGCTACTGAGCTGACAGAGGGTGCACCACAGCCTGAATATCAGTAACTCCGCCGCCTACTTGCTGCCACTGACGGCTGCAGAACTGATTTGGGAACATGATCTGCCTCACTTTCCCCCAGAGAAGTGAATTCAGCTGCTTGTGGCAAGGTGTGCGCTTGAACTCCAGCTCCCGTTTCTCTCCACATCATTTGTGTCAGAGGCTGCTCAAATATTTTCACCATGGGTGGTTTTAAAGCACCTCGTTCTTCAGCTCCTCAGAGTCTAAGATACTGTAGCCAGGAGAACAAGGAGGAGGTTCTGAGAAACTCAGTCACTGTACTCCAGCAGCTGTGACTGTGGAACAGGTCCGCTGAAGACCAGGCTGTGGCTACTCTGGCCGGCCCTCCACACTCCTCTGAAACACACAAAGGACTCGAGTACCATTGAGAATGTTTACAGCTCCAGATTCCTGAACTCACTGCAATCCTAGCCAAGCGGTGAATGTTAAGTGCTTCACTATTACCATGGCACAAGGCTATACATGCCCTTTCTATTTTCCCACACTTAGAAAGATAGGTTGAGGTTTTAGAGACTATACATGCCCTTCCTATTTTCCCACACTTAGAAAGATAGGTTGAGGTTTTAATGGGGACAACCAGCAATACGGTCTAGGATGTTGTCAGAGGGTTCCCCAGATACTCCCTGTGGGCTTGGATGACCTGAGCACCAAAGACACTTGGGGGGGGGGGGGGGGGGAGGGGAGGTAAAGATAGGGAAGCCAAAGTTGTAGCAGTCCTGAAAGGTGCCTTGGTATTTAGTTTATCCATATAGATTAGGGATGTAAAATCCCATTTTATTCTTTAACCTGTTGAACTTTCCAGTTTAACCAGTTAACCCAGGGTTTCCCCAAGCGGGCTCCGTGGAGCCCTGGGGCTCCATGCAATGGGGCCAGGACCTCCGTGAGAAAACACTAATGACAGTTGTGTGACCCTGTTGTTTTGTTTGTATTTTTCTGAGTTTTCTTGAAAAAAGTACAAGAACTACAAACAGAATTATAAAACTTCATCTATTTGGATACCTATTGAATTAAAAAAAATTCACAATATTTTTAAGGGCTCTGCCAAATTTTCAGGACCCCACTGGGCAGTGGTCACCAATCAGTCGATCGGGATCTACTGGTAGATCTTGGTGCCTCTGACGGGGATCCTGATTAGCTTGGCCAAGAGGCTATCAAGTGCCAGCATTTCAGCTGTCCCCCACTGCTGCTCATCTCCTGCCCTTTGCCTTGGAGCTGCCCCTCCCTCTGGGAGCTTCCTGCTTTTTGTGCAGGGCAGGGCAGGGGAGGGAGAGGAGGATGCTGATGTCAGGGTGCCCCCTCTCCTACCCTGTATCCTATCTCCACAGGACAGAGAGGGGGCACAACAGGGTTTGGAATGGAGGGAGCTTGCTGGCTGCTTTAGGGAGTAGGCCAGGGCCAGGGCCAGGGCCAGGGCCGACCCTGCCTTAGCCCCACTGCACCACCCACCAGGAGCCACCAGCAGTACCCAGCTGGAGCCCACATCCCAAACTTCTACCCTAATCTTTAACCCCCTCCTGCATTCCAAGCCCCTGCCCTAGCCCTGAGCACCCCCGCATCCAAACACTGTCCCAGAGCCCTCCTACATCCTGCCCCCAGAGCAGCTCAGAGCTTCTCTCACACTCCAGATCCCTTAATCCAAGACCAGAGCCTGCACCCCACCCCTCTGCCCCAGCCTGGGGAAAGTAAGCGAGGATGTGCAAGAAAGGGAGGATGGCATGAGCAGGGGCAGAGCCTTGGAGAAGGGGTGGGAAGGAAGCGGGGCAAGGGTATTTATATTTGAGGTAGATCTTGGATTGTACCTAAATTTAAAAAGTGATCTGATTCTCAGAAAGGTTGGAGATCCCTGCCATAGGGACTCTGTGGCAGAGAAAGTTTGGCTAACCTCAGGTTTCCCAATTAAACGGGGTGGGGTGGGGACTGGATATCCCCCTCCCCCCCGCCTGCAGCAGGCCCCACAGGACTGGTGCAGCCCCCTGCCCATGGTGCACCAGACGGGGGCTGCTCTGGCTGGGTTGGAGTGCTGCCATGGGGCAGGAGCCTTTCACATGGCTAATATAGATACCCATTTCCTGGGAAGCTGGTCAAGCTCTGTGTGCGCAAAGTGTCTTTCTCTGGGAAAAGTTTAGGGTGGGAGTCCCCCTCCTCTGCCCAAATTCAGTATCTTTCCCAAGTGCGGCTTCTCCTCAGAGGCTCACCCTGGAACTGTTTTACACATTCTCTAGTGTTGCCTCTTCTGCAGCTATTCTGGAATGAGCTGAATTATACAGGGCCTCAGCCCCTTCTTGCTCCCTCCCCCTCCTCTCCAAGTCGTTAAGGGTTAATAATTAACTGAAGCCAGGGGAGGGGGCTATCCCCTAGTTATAGTTTCTAGGGGCCTGGTTACAGCACAAACGTTCGCCGACGCAAATGGCACTGATGTAAAGCCCCACCATTCGCATACTGCTTGTGTAGGTGCATACGAAGCCCTTTGTGTTGGCAGGGTGCATACTCACTAGGCATGCTTGTGTCAGTGCACAGCACAGTGTACCATGCGATGCACCATCCTCATTTGCAACTCACCACCTTCCAGTGCACTTAGTTTTTCCAGATGTTCTGGCAACGTACAGTGGGCCAGAAACGAGTTGTGGAGGAGGGACTTGGAGCAAGAGGTTAAATTCCCATCATGCAACTTCCTCCGCCCCAAAATGCCATCTCTACCATATTTTCTGCAAGTCCCATGACAGCACATGACTGGCTGCCGTCTGCCACCAGTGACAGAAGCATGCTGCACCATGGAACAGCCTGCAGAGGATTCTGGGGTGAACACAACTAACACATTTATATTCAAGCAACAGCCACCTCCCTAGGCTTGAGGCAGCGTGTTGCTATGTCGGTGCCAAGGACGTCTACCTTGTGTGCACACAAGACGAGGCTGGTGAAAGGCTTAGGTGGTCAGGATACAGGAACAAGAGCAGCTGCTTCCACCAGTGATGCCTATGGACACAGCATCCTTTCCGTTGGCAGGCAAAGTAGAACCATGGGGCAGAAGGGACCGCAAAGGTCATCTCGTCTCACACCCATCAAGATGCAGGATTTGCTGAGTCTAAACCATCCAAGACAGATGGCTTCAGCCTCCTTTTCAAAGCCTCCAGCCAAGGAGCTTCCACAACCTCCCCAGGCAGCCTAGTCCATTGTCCTGCTGCAATCAGGGAGAGAGATGAAGGTTTTTGCCACATGGAGAAAGTCTCTGCAGAGATCTAAAGGCTGCAGTGACTAAGGGGTTGCCTATGCAGGGAAACTTGCTGGCGTAACTCTTGGTACAGTTATACCAGTATAACAATACTGAAATGCCGCCTCCAGTGGACACCCTCTTCCTGAGTGCAGTTTAGCTTCTATCACTTCAAACAGACAGGCTAATCTGGGAAAAGGCACTTCTATTCTGGATAAGAGTGTCTGCCCAGGGCATGCCCATGGCTAGCCATTTTCTTTATTTAGGCAAACCCCATGTCAATGTAGAAGAGAGCCACAGATATCTCAGACACAAATTCCTCCTCGTCCCACCTTGCAGTTTCTCAGGTGCTCAGAGAATTCAAGTGAGAAGACCCACTAAAATGCTCGACTATGAAAAACAAGAGTCATTTGAATTTGACACCTCAGCAAGAACTGGTATTCAGGCTGTACCCAGTCTTTTCACACAAGTTCTTGGGAGGCTTGACAATTTCTAGATCTCAGTAAGCACCTAAGGGTTGTAGGCATGCCGCATAACGTAAGTCACCTCGTGGCCCATCTGGCCGTGATCTGCACACCGAGAATAGCACCAGCCCATCCAAGAGGAGATGCTCGTAGACTGGCTAACAGGTTAATTTCCTGATGATGTTATTCTCAGACACGTCTCCGAGGGGTAGCCATGCTAGTCTGTATCTCCAAAAACAACGAGTCCCGTGGCACACACTATTGTGGGTAAAAACCACCTTGTCAGATGCGGCATCCGATAAAGTGGTTTTTACCCAGCTGCCACCGGACTCCTCGTTTTCTCAGTAGTCTGTGGTTTGCACTTTCACTGGGATTCCACGACCTTTGAGAGCTCTAGGAAGTGACTTCACTTCAATCAATCTTCAACCAGTAAGAGACCTTGTGCCATTTTGGCTGGTGAGAAGCAAGGTCTTCAGAGTACCCCCTGAAAGAGGATGAACAGGATTCTGTCTGGCATAATCATAACTGTGTGTGCAGAACTGTATTGGCCTTTTGCCACATGTTAACTCTGCTGTACATAGCACTTACCTAGAAGCAAGGAGAGAGAAAACCGTATGCAGATCCACAGAGCAGCATCTTAATCCTTGTGCTTTAATGGCTGTGTTCCTTCATTTCAAGTACAGAGGCCAGGAGGAGGCGGCATTACATGCATTTTGTTTTATTCTTCCCTACCACAAGTGTAACACAGCTAATCTTAGCTAGGGTGGGTGGCAGGAAGAGACAGGTGATATATGAAGAAGAAAACTCTTTACAACTTACTGAGAACTAAAGAGTGGTGCGTGAGGAGAGTCTTCATGGTGTTGGCTACAGCTACTCATTCCGCCTCATTACCATTCTGTGTTACCGCTTGCTGAATCCTCACAGCCACGGCCTCTGCCCCAAAGAGTTTACACTTTGCACTTGTACCACACAACAGGGCCTCAACCCAGACAGGGACATTAGGCTGCTTTTCAAATACAAACCAACTATTGTGCAGTAATGCACTGGGGAGCTGCAGAAATACAAAGCCAATAGGACCTTGATGTAGCATCACTGGCATCCTGCGATGCCAGTTAGTGACAACATTTCAGGGTGCTCGTCTCGTCTGAGGGGAGAAGGAAATAGCCTCTCTCCAGGTCAGTCAGCCAGCTCACCCTGTGCTGCCCTGGATCTCTCTCACCCAAGATGCCTTCAACCAACCATCTGCTCACTCCCAATCTACATACAAAAGCTCAACTAGAAGAGCCGTAACTGTTCCTGGCATTTTGCACTTGCATGCAACACCACACTTAGGTGCATTACTGACAACGGACATAAACCTAATTGTGAAATTACATCATCTTGGAGGGTTGTATAGTCGGGACACAATCTTGCTCCTTATTCTGTCCACTAGTTACAAGTGTAAAGACAAACTGTTTTTCTTCACATACTAAAGCGTGATTAACAGTTAATCTGAATCACGTTTTGGTAGATTGCGCCATGTATCTTACTTGAAATTATTCCTGGTAGAAAGACATTGCGAGACCTGTAGCAGTAAGCTGAGCTGACCAGTCCTCTTGGCCGTCATGAAACTGCAGTTAAGTTACTGCAGTTAAGTTACTGCAGGACAGGACTTGTCTGAGTGCACACGGGTCTGCTGAGCACAGGAATGCTGTAGCTGAGACTCAATGAGACTTCAGCTATTTTAAGCAGATTCCAATGGCAAAGGTGTGCAGGTCAGGAAGCAGTAATACCTGGACTGATCCCCCATGCCGGTCTGCAGCCAAGTGAGATGTCAGGTACGAGGTATTTGTCTGCCGGCTTGGCTGGATCTCCCACTCTCCTCGGCGGTCTGATGACGCCGTCTGCTCAGGCATTCAGAAGCATGACAGCAAGAGATGGAAGGAAAGATAAAGGTGAGCCCAGGCAAAGCAATGAAAATATATTAGTTAGTGGGGTTAGTTCACTGAAAAAAGCAAGGCATGTAAAGAACGTTTAGCTTGGTTAAAAGTTCATTTTACCAAACACACTGCACGCTTGAGAGAGAAAGTGCTGGAGAGGGTTATTCAACCCAGCAAATGGAGAAATGAATTTTCAGAAATCAACCGAGCTACTTCAGTGTGTGTGTGGGGGAGGGTCCTCTATAGACAGGACAACTCAGGAATTTACCAACTAACAAATCGAACTGTAACATTTTTAACTTGGCATGTCAGGACATAGACACTAGAGCGTGTCAGACACAAACCCTGCCTCCGCTGGAGAGACAGCTTTTGAGTCCAGGAGCCCAAACCGCAAGATGATGGAGGAAAAGCCCTGTCTATTATATTAGGAGTTGGCTTCAAAACACACCAGTAACACAGGAAGAAATGTGCTCAAATTTTTTGTTCCTACTTTGCAAAAGTGAGAGTTTTGCCTGAAAACTACTATAGCAAACTAGCCACACACAACCAGCCAGATGGCCTCATGTGGCCAATGGCTAGCATGCTGGACACCGCGGCTCTCCAGGGTCACTTGCTCTTGCTGCCCCAAGTCCAAACATACCTCTCACAAAGCAGAACTAGATAAAATTAGTGGTGAAACACTGTTGTGCTTGGCATCCACTTAGAAATATAGTGTTTTACTAGGAAGCTTAATTACACTACCCGAACAACCGAGATGGAACATTCTCTAAACTGGAGAGACTAATTCAAATGCTTCTCAATCTTCTCAGGGCTTGTCTACAGGAATTTCATAATTTGTGGCTGGCTGTACGTTCTCACTGCACTAGTGTATAACATACGTGTCCATGTGGACACTACTGCTGGGCACTACAAGTTCCCTACTACACTTTAATCTACTCCCTCTCAAAGTAGTGTAGATCCAGGTGCACTAAAGAGCTTCTTGTGCACACAGCTGGGGGGCCACATGAATACTCAGCATGCCGTATGCAAGCGTGGCTTACATTTACTTCCCACAAACTAAGTGTTCATTCACCCAGTGGCTCAACATTTCCTGACTACAATTCAGGAGTCAGATCTCTCACATACCTCCAAGTTACGCCTCACTTAAACTACTTGCTTACAAGGTTAGACATCAAAACACAAAGGTGCTAGAGCACACTATTACTGAAACAGCTGACACTCATTTTTACTGTATTACAAAATGCATCAGTTGGAATAGATAGTGTAAATAGTATACAGAGCAATATAAAATAAGTTAGCGTCTCTATGAAATTTGAGTTTGTTCTTACTTGGCTAGCGCTTGCTATGCAGTCTGTTGTAAAACTATGTACACATCAGCTCCTCTAGATATACCCCCAGGGGTGCATGTACCCATGGTTTAGAGCCAGTCATTTAGAGCTAAATGACAACAGTCAGCCCGGTTGGCACACATTAGTTGCATCACAACACTCCCTTGCAGATCAGTGCTACTTGGGTAGGACCTTTATATTCCTTTCACGAGTGCCACATACACCATAGAGCAATATGGAATTGGTAGACTTGAGCAAATCAAATGCAAATCAGTCTCAAGTTCTATGGTTTCCATTCTCCCCTTCTTCAATGAGGAAAACCAAACAAGGCTCCAGACTTTCTAAACTTGTGTTGGGTCTGTGCCAGTAGTAGTGCCCTGGCTGCGTGCACCTGAAGCAGTGAGGTTGTTGGCTATACATCACACAAAAACACTACATTTTCATGAACATTTTCATGAAATGTGATCAATACGGTTGCCCGCAAAGATGCGGAAGCAAAGTCCGGAGCAGAGAGCTGAGGTGAGGTTAACAGATGTCTGAGGCTGGAGTTTGCCAGTTCCCACAGCATATAGCCAACGAAGCACAACTTTCCAAATGAAAAGCCAAGGTGAATGAGGAAGGTGCGTGGAAGATGCAGGAGAACCAGCACTAATTCAGAAGACAAATGAGCTCAGTGTGATCCTGAAACAGTCTGGAAATTCAGAAACCCATGACTCGCAGCTGAGACTGCTGCTGCCTGGAGCAGGAGCAGAAGGGAAGACCACGGGCCGTGAGTCATGTAGGCAAGGGAAGACGCTGCCTTCCTAAAAGGACAGGGGCAGCCTTGCCCATACTTCAGCCATGCAAGGAGGCTGGGGCCACATGAATGCCTGGCTCAGGGGAAGGTTGGGGCCACGGTTGGAGCGTGGCTGCCTGGCTGCTCCAAGGAAGATGGGGTCACGCAGCTGCCCAGCACCAGCCAGCAGCCATAATGGGGTAGCTGGGGTACAAGGCAGGGGCCAAGGTCCATGATGGGGTCCGGGCTCTAGTGGGCGCTGAAGGGGTGGGCTTGGGCTTGCACCCTGAAGCCAGGCATTCACTCACAGCCCATGGGAAAGACCTTTAGGAAAGCCACCGATTGGCTAGTCTGGGTTCACAATTCACAGACCCAGGAGGTCTGGTTGGAAACACTGTCAGATTCTGTTGTGAGGCGACCAGATAGATATCACCGTAGAGTTTGGTTTTGGACAATGCAGCTGTTAGAAATTTGCTTCCCCAGGCCTTAGGGGTTATGTTCTCTAGTATGGGGTAAAACAAGAAGGCTCGTGCCAGAAGAATTGGCTGAAGAGGATATTTTACTCCCAGGTCCAGAAAACGTTAACGTTCCGATTACAGATTTACTGGCAGAAGAGAGTCTGGTGAGCCGCCACTTCCCAGGGCAATGCCCTTGGCGGGTAAAGATGCACGCCATGTGGGCCTTTTCCCTTACGTGCAGATGGATTATTGGCGGTTGCCTAGATAAGTGGCAATACGTTGCCGATGAAGACAGGTACCCGGGAGCCACCCCTTGGGCTCACAGTACTTCTGGGCCAGGAGTGTTCGCATTTTCAAAACACTGTGGTGCACTGACGGGATGTCTACACCGCATAGAGACCCCCATGCCGGCCCCTCCCAGACCCTGGATCTGACCTCTGGCAGGCAAGGGGGCAGCATCGCCAAGCTCAGGAGCTAGCCCAAGCCTGCATACATACACCCCTCTTTCCAGCCCTGCGTCCCAAAAGCCTGACTCACCTGTGCGGGTTTGTATGGGCAGCACAGGCCCGCCCTCAGATGTTCCCCTTTATGAAGCTCCCAGCAGAAAGTCTGGGGAAGGCAGGCCTCTCCCACCCCCACCTCTCAGGGCGGAAGGTCACAACCTGTACGACTGGAACGCCAGTCCAACATACGCATGGCAATGATGCCTAACTGTTTCAACAGGGGTCTCCCCGGAACAGAACTGAGAATACCCCCAGCTGCCACAGCACTTACTGTTATCACTCCTCATCTCTGTCCCTCTCCACTGCCTGACACCCTTTCCTGCCTGTTCCCTTCCCCCAGCCTGTTTCTTTGGGATTTCCCCCCACCCCCCGCACATGTATTTTGCTTCATGCTGCAGGGGGCATCTCCTCTTCTCCCCTCGCAGCTGCCCCTGGCTCTAGCTATTTATATTGCAGACGTGTCAGTCGGGGGATCGAGGCTTCATCATGCTGGGCACTTGCAGACCACGGGAACGCACAGCCAGCTGCACAGCGCCAACAGAGGAATTGCTGCCAAGCATCACGCTGACCGGGCAGCAGCCAGAGGTCTCCGGGAGCACAAGCAGCAAGCTTGGCAGCTGCCTACCAACTGCCAGCAGAAACACCTCTGCAGTCAGAAGTGGTGCACCCAGCAGCATGCTTGTTTTCACCCTGAACTGGTCTCACGCTGATGACTAGCTATGGGATCACATTATGCCTTTGGCTGCTAGCTGTTAAGGATAAAATCCATTGCTGAGTGTGAGGCACTCCAATTGTACACACAGGATGGCACCGTAGAAACTCAGACACAAGCAAATGCACTAGCACCCAGTGAAGATGAAAAACGAGTAGACCCAAAGGCAGCACGCAGAGCAGTAACTCAGGCATTAATTGACATGGCAACAGGGGTTCAGGTCCCATGCTGCTGGGACATGCTAGAGCCTACAGTAAGTTCCATACTCCAGACAAGCTTGGAGCTTTAGCCCTCATGATGTTTAGTGATGGAAGGGGACAAAGCCAAACAACGGCTGTCAGAAGCTCTGATAAGCCCTGGCTCAAAATGACAGATATGGCTTAACTGGGTAAGTGGCTTTCTGATGCTTTTATATACTCCCAGGCCAAAGCAGCTCTCTTCAGGACAGAGCATGGGCTCCTCAGCATCCCTAACACTGTGGTGTCCAACGCGCTAGCCACTAGTCACAGGTGCCTATTTGGCTGGTTGAATGTGGCTAGTTTGCTGTAGCAGCAACCACGATAATGGCTCCTGCTTCTCAACTGGCTGGACACAGCTCTAATCATTTAGCTCTGTTGAGTCTTGCCCCAGCCAGCCTACCTGCGAGTTGGTACTTTTCTAGGAAGAACGGCCTGATGCAGAGCTAGAACCAGAGAGCTCAGCTTAGTTCTACATGATTTAGGAAGGTTGCATGTTAGCACATACATTCAATCTTACAGCCTCTGAAACAGCCACATGGCTCCCACCAACTCCTCTCGATGGGCACGTGTATCTGAGGACAGAACTTGTCCCAGCAATTCATTTCTGTTTTACAATGGAAAAAAAATAACATTGATCCTGTGTTCCCAAAAGCAAATCATTGATACCTGAGAGCACAACTGCATGTCAGTCAGTCAATTAACCTGAAGGGAAGCAAAGAACACCACCACTCATCTATGGCTTGGCTAATCATGGGCTAAAATGAATTCTCTGTAATAATTATACTTTGTCAAAACAGGCTCTGCTGTAAACGTAATTTTCTGTGGCACAAAATGCTTTTGGGGAGGATAACTATCCTGACACCAATCATTATGAGGCAGATCCTGGCACCTCTGAGAACAGATTTCACTTAGAAAATAACCTAGTCAAAGTTTTCCCTAATGCCCAACC